GAATCTAAGTTAGGAGTTTTCTGGAGACCACCTGGAATATCCAGAGAACAGACTACTGTCTCCAAGACCTTCAGTAGAAGAAATGCCCCACATTTGTTGTTTTCTATTGGATTTGTGGAATTTCTATCTTTGAAAATTGCCTTAAAACATTCAATGAAGACTTCTAAGCAAAGAGCAAAAGTTTTTAAAATGTATTATTTAATGTAAGACAATTGTTGCTTTTCCAAGATAAGCTTTCCTCTTTTTATCACTGTATAGTAACTATCTGCCTTTGCTGCAGTCTGTATAAAAGTCGGTAAACTACACATCTTAATATCTTTTCTCCCTTAAGTTTCCACACTTAGATTTTACAGAAAACCCACAGGAAAGTTGATTTCCTGAACACTTGGTAGCCTACTTGAGCCTGGGCTATTGTGTTGTCCTTACTACTTGCAACTTACTGTTCTTTGAGGGGTGGAAAGGACGCCTTGATACACTCTTAACTTTGCTGTGAAAGCATCCTGTTTAATAAGTTAAGAGATAATAATTTCTGGTCTTGGCTTTTGAAAATGAGAATGCTTTTTAACTTTCTCTTTCATGGGTATTAACTTTGCCCAGCATCTTCGTTTTAATTACCACTGTGCAGTACTTCAGTTCTCTTATTTGCTTCATTACCTTTTCTACTTTGGTTTCGAAAATAATTTTAACAAAATAAAATTAGATTGTTTCCAATACAGTGTTTCACCATACTATTAATGAATCCTTTCTTCATTGCCAACACAAAGCTAGATATTGCAAATCTTTTTAAACAAACAAAAACTGTTTAGTCTTATGATTAGAGCAGACAAATAGCATAATAAAATTTAACTCACCTATCCTGACCCATTTTTTTTTCATTTTTACTGAGCTTTCTTCATGAGAAATAGGAACTATCTGTGACTTAACTCCTTCCAACAGATGGAAGTTCTTGTTTAGAAAGGAGCTGGAAGAATCCCCTAGGGTTCTAATTCCTAATCCTTAGTTTGCAAGAGTAGCCAGATATGTATTTCAAGCCTACACTTTTTTTTTTTTGTTTTTTTTTTGAGACAGGGTCTCCCTCTGTCACCGGGGCTAGAGTGCAGTGGTGTCATCATAGCCTCAAACTGTAGCCTCAAACTCCTGGGCTCAAGCAATCCTGCTGCCTCAGCCTCCCAAGTAGCTGGAACTACAGGCACAAGCTACCATGCCTGGCTAATTTTTCTGTTTTTTGTAGAGATGGGGTCTCCCTCTTGCTCAGTCTGGTCTCAAACTCCTGGCCTCAAGTGATCCTCCTACCTTAGTCTCCCAAAGCGCTAGAATTAGAGGCATGAGCCACTATGCCCAGCTAAGCCTGCACTTCTTGCTGCATCTTGTATTGAAGCCATTATGGGGAAATAGAAAAGGGTACTGGACAGTGCATTGAGAGACCTAAATTCTAAATTCTGGTTTGCCACCAATTTTTATTTTTGCGACTATGGACTTGACATCCCCTTTTTTTCCGCAGATGTAGTTCAGTTGAACTAATAGTTATTGAGCATTTACTCTTTGCAAGAGATGGCTGGAGATATTATGTCCAGTTTATATTGACTAAATGTTTTCATTTGTTGATTTATCCTTTTTCTGGAATGGTTTTGGTCAGTGGTAACTCTGGGCAGGTAAGTGAGGGAGATTACATTGTAGCTGGAAAATTTGTACTCTAAAGAGGCTTTTATTTGTATGAAGGGAAAATCTTTCTAAATCGAGCAAAACCTGTGATTTAATTTAAAAGCTACAAAATCAGTACTATTTTATAATATTCCATCATTAATTCACAATTACTACTAATTTACTAAATATAAACAATGGAAACCCCTGAATCCTAGTAATAGTGCCTAAATATAATAATGCCTAAGTAACATAATAAGGCCTATGGTTTACTAGTTGATTCAAAATTTTTATTTTTTAGCAAAATAAGAATTAACCTGGAGTCCTAATTTGAAATATATCTAACAGTAACTATTTTCATATTAACCAAAGTAAAAGAGACCAAAACATTTCAGCATTATGATGGTACCTTTACTGAATTAGTAATCATCTGTTTCTAAGAACTGCTGCTTCCCTTAATATATTGTCTTGATTAGAGGCATATTGATTCAAGTATAGTTCCCAATGTTGATTTATAGGGCAGTGAGAGCATAAACAGCTTTCAGTTCTGTTGAGACAGGGTCATTCTTGGAAACTAACATTGTCAGAAGTGCCTCAGATAGTAGAAAAAAATAATTGAAGAAAAGAAAAAATGAACTAAATACAGAAGAATTCTATTATATCTTAAATTCTTATTTCTTGCTTTATATGTATTATGGTGACAGCTTTGCTGATGTTATAACTACAAAACTGTTACATAACGTTGTTACCTTAAAGGGCCTATGATTGGGCCACCTC